CAGACTATTCCAGGAACGTCCGCACGTCTCCATCCTCGAAGGCTTCGGGCCATGGGACCTTCATCCTGATCCTGGCGACGGCACCAGTTGTTATATTTCCACCAGGGGTGCCTGATCGAGGATAATGATTTGTTACAGATTACAGTTAGGATATCGATAATTTGGCTTACGTATAACAAGGTGTCTCATTTTAAAAATGCCATCATTATTCCTGGCAGAATACAGGATAATGAATAACAGTCGGTAACCATTAGTTTTAGCACAGCAATTCTCTCTGAGTGGTTTTGTTCACTTTTGACCGTAGAAAGAAACTGTCAACCGCATTATTTTTCGTACTACTCACAAATGCGAGTAGCATCTCAGAACATTAGTATTTAAACATGCTGATTATGTTTCATATTATCCTCTTCAGATATCACGATTCACGTCGTTCTGACCGTGAGTACGAGCGCGGTTCTCGTCATTCTCATCGATCTCGTGAAGGTCGATATTCCGGTGGCGGCGGTGGTGTACTGGATGATATGATAGAGGATGGATTCTGTCCCCCCACCTCAGCTATTCTGTCTTCCCGAAGTGGTGACAGACGTTCAACTCGTGAGCGACGCTCAGAGCGTAGTAGAGATCGCGATCGAAGTGGACACAGAAGTAGTCGACACGATCGCGAACGGTCTTCCAGGTCGTCCCGTCGTAGCAGACATCGCTCCGGTAGCCGCACTTCCACACGGCGTGAATTCGACTCTCCGTCAAAATCTCCACATCAAATGATTTCCGAGGATTCGCAGACGCAAGACGGGCCTTCATCCTCTTCTAAAGTAACTGATCCACTTGCTGTTGCGGCAGCTCGCGCGGCCAATATTGCTGCTGCTTTGAATTCATCGAATTGACCCGATCCTTGAATGTTTTATCTTTGTCCGTTTGTTCCCTTGTACAGACTACATCCTCTATACAGAATTTGTTTGCCATACAATCGTATCGTCCGAGCCTTTCTGGTTTTGCCGGGTTTCCTAACAATGGGCAGAATAAAAAAGGTGGTATGTTTTTGCATTAAATACTGTGCTGATCTATTCTATTACGAATCGAAAAATGGGACCCAATTGTGTATAAGCAGCTCATTCGAGTGAACAGACCGAAGTTCCATGCTTCGTTTGCAATTCGCATGTACGGATGCCACCTGTCCGTCAGCCCATTTTATACTGGTTCTAAGTTAATTAGCAGAGCAACCGGGTTCAGCCTTTGGATCGACCTTTTTAGACCATACACCATGTGTCAGCTTACCCAGCTCATCGTCTTCGTTGTTTTGATTCCTGGTTGGTTTACCACATCACCCCATCTGTTTTTCGCACCGCGGAATTGTCTGAAAAAAAAATCACAATGTCCAACACTAATGGCTTCATCACACTGTGATCAAATCTGAGTCAGTTTCCCTTTCGAATGCAAATACTTGTCTTCCCGTATTCTTTCGTTGCTCTCAATGCCGCTTTTGCTCTCCGCAAACTTCATTCACCTATTTATGGTGCACAAGTTTACTTGTGATAAAAAGACCGCCTCGTTTTTATTTTTTTCGGATAAAAAGGTTACTCACTGTTTCCCTGAATTTTCGCATTGTTTATTTAATCCTTTGTCTGCAACTGTCTTATCATCGTTCACACTACTTCTGATCCAGTTTGTTTTAATGCAATTGCCGTCGGGCAAATCAAATCGCGAAATTGGGATGCTTGATCTGTGAATCATTCTCCTTTTCAATCTTTCCTTTTGCTTCTTTATTTTTTCTTCGTTTTATTTGATACGTGATGGTGCAAACAATTCTCAAAATGGAGGAAGCGGCGAACCGATGGACTGCGAACGAATTGGCAAAGGCTCGGCGGCCGCGGTGGTGGTGCGGCTTGAACATCGCCTCCCGAGTGATCAGTTAATCAGCTCAACCGCTAGACTACCACCACTCAATCTCATTGTGATCCGTTACCGTTTATGCATTCGGGCTAAAAATTCACCACTACTCATCAACGTAACATACCTAATGGCAACATTCGAAACTTTACGGTATCCGTTTAGGATAAACGAACCGTATTTGGGTTAGTAACGTGCATCATCAATGTTGCATTGAATAACTTGACCAACTCTTGAAGTGATGATTTGGTAGGTGTAGTCTCGTGCCACCGTTTTGCATTCTTCACAAGACCATTTGAAATGTGCAATGCATGCAATGCATTAATGCAAAAACGTCAACACGATGTTTTCTACGGATTGGTTTCACACTTGGTCTGATAGATATGTTATGCAATCCTACAAAAATAAGAGACGGACAATACCTCACGAGTATTACCTTCTGGATATTGGGCGACATTGCGTGATGCAGATGACTTTCGATCGGGGTTACGGAAATGGGTCCAAGGGTATGCTGTTTCGAGTACTGACGAAACAGACTTGTATTCCATTTCGCCTGTTCGCCGAGCTTGGCAATTTGTTTGCAAACGTTTCATCACCAGCCGAGGTGACATCATCAGTGCTTGTGAAGTGGCCACAGGCGAACAGGCGAAATGGAATTCAGTTCACCCGAGCTACGAAAACCGATTTTCAATATTTTGTCAACAGACTTGTATGATAAGCAACTTCCAGAATGAACTTAAGGTCCCAAGGACCAGTAGTTTCTGAAGACAATGAATCCAAGGATGATACTACCGCTTTGTGGGAGCGTGACTAGAAAAAAATCGACCAAGGCTAGTTATTCGTTTCACTGAAAACTTTGTTCTTGGTTTTAAAAGTGGTGTCTTCTGTTAATCTTCATTCGTTTCATCAAATTCAAATCACAGGACGCAGAGAAGGTCTTTGCCTGTTGATTGTCCTGGTAATGGCTGATTCCGTCCTTGGACCGACTAGCTTGCGAGTGTGATGCTTCTTCGGACAAAGGGAGTAACGTTATGATCTTGATCGCACCATTGCTAATTTTCTCATGCAGTACCGTGATGCAACACACGCGATTAGTGACACAAGTCCAGCTAAACTGTTCAAGGCACGTCATTTGAGAACGAGATTTCAGTATGGCATTGGTTTGTGAATTCTCCAGAATAGAATCTGAATATTTCTCTATTTGCGCTTTGACTACTAGAGATATTTGAGTAGTCTGGTTATAGATGACAATATTTAGTTACTGCTCTACACCATTAATGAGTGCCAAATGACAGAAATCCAATGTTGCCTTGGCGTCTTGAGGTGATTCATGGGCTCCAGGCTGTTGCCCAAGTATTGCTGGTGTTTGTGCTTTTTTCATCGAAACCATTCTAGAACAGAGCACACTGAAGGGTCATTTGTAAGGTTTACCCACTCGAGGCGAAAAGTAAAATGAAACATTCAGTTCGCTGTGGTAATACAAAACTGGTAATATTTGTGACGTTTCGCGAAAAATATACAGTTATATGCTGGTTTATTAGCGTTAAACACTGGAAATGATTAGAGTAAGAGCATGGAGGTGGTGGGATCAAATGGATACCGTACAAAAACTACTTCGAACTACGGCGGATATTAGATCTATACGTCGAAGGTCTCAATCAGATTCAAGTGGCGATGCGATGAATGTTCGGGATGTGCTGTAGAATCACGGAGGGGTTACGGTACGACTTAGAGAAGGCGTCTTTCGTCACGTATATTCAGTGCGCAAGGTTATACTGCACTGCGTCGAAACGTCTAATGATGTTTAATTGGCGGACGCCACGCACCAGCATAAATGTGTTGGGTACGTGCTTTGGCATGCTATGCTTTTAGACGATATGGGTTTAGGTAGAAATTCCTTCTACGCTATCTTGCTGAATGAGAGCGGCGAGAGCTATAGATCTGCCATGAGAGCTATGTGCCCCGTCGTCGTACAAGAATATAGTAGTCGATCGTAGCGTGGCTCAATATAATGCGTTCTCGGAATATTTTCCTTCCTCTGATGTAGTGTTTTGTCCTTTCCATCTAGGTAAGGATATGAAAAAATGTAACCAGCTATCTGGTATGCCAACGTTCAAAAAGCAGCGCATCTTTCAGTGGCACCTCAAAACAGGTTTGTATCCTCGATCTTCATTATTGGATGTATTTGAGGAAGTGCTAGAACTAGTAAGGTCACTGGAAGTGACGCATGGAATTCTGCTTGCTAAAGATTCTATGAGTTGGTATCCGACCTCCAGCGGGAATCAATCGTTTAAACCGTTGCTCATACGAGTTACATCATTTGCGCGAAATAGATTGTTAAGTAACTGGAAGTCATACACGATAGAATGAATCGTTTACGAGAGAGGGTTCTCCATGGCCGTGGATAGTAATAACTGCAGGGGAAACGAAGTGTGAGTGTTATTTCTATGTGCAATTGTTGTTGCTCTATTTGCGTATGACCAGGGTATTCGATCTACTTATTTGGGATTTCAAGAGTCTTATTCCAGATAGGTGGATTATGCATCATAGCGAAAGACATTGAGATCAGGCACACGAGAACTCCACTGTGGTAGTAGCGGCCTCAAGAAACGTAATGGATAAGACATGGAAGTTAACTCAGTTAGAGGATGTATTTCAAGAACTAGGCGTCTCTTTTATTAGTTTAGATGTCGAGGGCTACGGCTTTAAATGTAGTCAACTTCGACGTGTAGTGGCTATGATGGAAAGTACCCAGACATCCAGATCTTATTCGAGAGACGAGGATCGGCAACACAGATTACGGAGCTTCAAGGTAAGGGCCGATTATCCACCAGTGGCGTCAACAAGCGATTCAATAGTAAAGCAGAAAACGGTTTTAGTTAGTAGACTGGTCGACAGTGTGGGCGATCAAATATATCCAGGGGACCCACTGGAGCATGTTGTGTTCCGGAGACTGACAACGACAATATCGGCAAAGTAGAAACTGGACGCTAATCGTAGAAGACAAACCAATCCGGCATCACAGATGAAGGTGAATGGTTGCAATGTCTGCAACTCCGCGCGGAAAAACGGTCGATTTGGACGATGATCAATGATGATCCAATGCTAAAATCGCGGACGACAAACGCATACCAGTTACGCTGCGTATGGAGAAGAGGAAGCATAAGTTTGTGTAGATTTCCTCAGTCAATGAGCTGGTGCGTGATTATCACAAAGTGACTGATAAGGGCCCATTTTAGGACCACGCTAATCTGATTTATTCGTCTCGAAGTTATTATTTGTCGATGTTGACTCATATATAATAACATTTACAATAGTTAAGGATAGTTTGTGGTAGGTCCAGTTCTTATTAATGAAGTTTGGGTCGCTTTTAGATACCAATAATGGATACATACGTGAATAAGTATTATTTTCATATTATTTTATCTGGTGTATATTTTTTGTTGCTGTTTTCCACTTCAGGACATCTGGCATAACCGTGAACGTCTCCAATGAACGAAATAATTTTTGGACGACGGATTTCTGCTGTAGAGATTTTCTCATAGCTTGGATAATGGGGATTGATCAAATGACCTTCAATTTTTTTAACAAAACTGCGTTTAGATGCTGCGCGCTTACCCACTTGTAAGCATCGCATGATTAGAACTGTAGTCACCCACCTTGACTTTAAATGTGCGATTGCTCAGAAAGGCTGCTATCCAATGCCTTGCTCTACCTCTTATTCCGAGGCTCCGAAATTTGAAGTCCAACAGTCGATGGCTGTCAGAGTCAAATGCTTTACGGAAGTCTAAATAGCAGACTTCTACTTTTTCCCCTCACCCATACGCTGAGTGACTTCCTCTGGGAACACTAACAGATTTGCATGAAACGATTTCCACTTCACCAAGCCATGTTGTGCCGGTGTTAAGAGTTGGTTGCTAGTCAAATGTAGGCAAATCTTTCAACTGATCAGTCGCTCCAGGCACTTACACAGCACTGACGTTAGGTTAACGGGTCT